ACATGCTCGTTCCTTAACTTCAATTTCCTCCGGTGGTTTCATGGCTCCCTCGGGCCCGGGAGAGCAGAAACAGATGGCGCTCGGGAGGGCACGGCGGCTCGTCGGCAACGCCGCGATAAATTCAAAAGTTCTGCCGGCACTAAGCTTCTGGTATCAGTCCTGACACGAAATGATCCTTGATGCAGTTTTTTATTTTTTAATCTGGTTGACTAATCATATTGGCTCTAAAATATTTTCTTCTAGAAATTGAAAAAAAAAAAATACCCAGCAACCTCGCTTAGACAAGTCGGAAAAGCAGGCCGGCATGTGTTTATGCAACATAGCACTTTTCCCCAGGGCGCGCCCTGCCCCATAAATTGTCGTGCTGGTGTGAAAAAACTCAAGTCAGGTCTGAAAAAAAGTCCTCCTCTTAAATCACAACCATATTCGTGAGAGGTGAGGAAGACAGTGACATATTTAAAGTCTCAGCCAGGTTCCTCGCACGATTTTCTCTTTATTTTCTCTTCCTAAGCAATTTCTTATTGGTGTATTTTCCAGGTGTCTGCTTTTCTATAATCCATCTCTGCTCTCTCCCCACCCCCGTGTCATAATACTTTCCTCTCGAACAGTTAAATATTCCAGTAATCTGCAGGACGGGGACGCTTGTTAATCATTATCACTTGAATCGCTATTAGGGGCAGCCATGCAGAATTGCTTAATGGAAACAAAGTGCAGAACTACAGGAAGGAATGTTTCCCAAAGTGGGAACACCCTGCCCACCAACCGAGAACAAGCAGCTCTCGGCTGGGGCGAGGGGAGCTGAGTCTGCACTGAACTGAGATATTTGGGAGACAGCTTTCTGGTCGCTTGAGGCAGGTAGAAGGAGCTGAGGCAGGGGCCGGGGGTGGGAAGCTATTGGACGGCATGACAAGCACCCCCTGGTCAGTGACAGAGGCAGGTAAGGGCAGCTGAAGATGGAACTGTTATTATCTGCAGACGACGACTGGTTGGTTTACCAACCGGATGGAAGCGAGCACTTCGATCGCTGGCACTGACGCTAAAAGGGCTTTAAGCCCTTAACATCGATAAGGCCAGGAGAACAGGCACAGTGGAGGGGAAAGAGAAGAGGAAAGAAGAAATGGAAAAGGAGCAGACAGCAGTGTGTACCTGGGTTAAAGGGACAGACCCGGGCTGGGTTCAAATTGCAGCTCAGATACTTAGGAGCTGTGTGACCTTGAGAAAGTGAAGTAACCACTCTGTGTCTGTGACACGTCTAAGGGACCCACCTCACAGCGCTGCTCGAACATGAAATGACCGAACACGTGGAAAGTGCTTCCGTCAGGGCCCTGAGCGGCAGCCACACGTTCTCTGATGACGCAGGATGACTGGGTTGTCTAGCTCATCGTTTTTCTTAATGAGATGGACGTTGTTTATACTAAGATTGCTGTTAAGAAGAGGCAAGAAGCCAGGATAGGAAGTGAGATGGAATTTCTATAATGGGGTTGAGGGAGTTAGGTAGGTGTTGTAAAGTGGGAGTTAAAAAATCTGGGCATTTTTAAAAAAGAAGAGCACTTTTACATCTGGCTAAAATTCTTCAGGGCCCAGGGTAAGCTGGGAAGGAGCAGGTCAACCGGACGTAGGGAAGACGGCCAAAAGACAAAAAGGTTTCCGCTTGAGAGTAAAAAACAGCACAGCGATGGACCCCAATGAGAAGCTACTGAATTCTTCAGCATTTTAGAGGAAACCAATGGGATTTGGAAAGAAAGAACTGGGTTCAATTCTCTCGGTTGCTGGCGATTCCTCTGCTTCCCACGGAGGTTTGAAATGTGGATTTAACTGAAACAAGGAGTGCCCGGCCTCAAACATCGTACCTGCAGAACATAGCAGGTGCACAATAAATGTTGGCTGCCTTCCCGCACGTTGAGACGAACGGCTCTGTCTTTAGATGGGGGCTGAAAAGATGAAGTAAGAATATAAATTGGAAACGGCGGTAAAATCCTGCTCTATGTGCGACTCTGCAGCCAGCTGAATATAGAAGCAAGAGACCTGCACCTGCAAGTTGCCTAATCTGCATCATTTGCACCCTGAGATCCTGCTAACTAGAGTAAAATAGTCTGTGTCCTTTCAACGTTTAAAATGTTCCTCCGAGGAGAACACAGTGAAGAGAAGGAGACAAGAGAATCTCAGTCTTAGGAACCAGAAGGCGACCTCGGAGGTGCCTTCAGAACCCTCCAGAAGCAGCACAGAGCAGGACGGGGCTGCCCTCCTCACTCTGTCTACTCCACCTGTACCATCCCAGAGGCCCTTGTTAAAGCTTTTAGGCAAACAAAACATACTTACATACACAATTAGTTGTATCATTTTGGAAGGAATGGTTGCCAAATCCACACAGGAAAGGAGTGGGGTCCCACAGGGATGGTCTTTGGATTAGACACTAATGCCCCTGCTAGTGGTCGTGACAGAAAGGTACCTGCACGCCAGGTGGAATCCTGCAGAACAGCCTCAAGTAACGGGGGGCTGCTCTGGGCTGTGTTCCATGGGGTGGACTGCACAAAAGGTGCTCAGGCAGCTGATGCTAATATTGACACTTACGCTGGTGCTACTTACAATTATATGTTACTATATATATAGAGAGTATATATATATAACACTAAATGTATATATAGTACATACATATATATGTAATACTATATAGTATATATACAGTATACATATACTATATATAAATGTAATACTATATGATATATAATAATATATGTAATACATAATATATGAAAGTTAACAGATGAATAAATGGCCAATTCTGCACATATACATGTAGATACTGGCACATAAATGAATTTTTCACATATATATGCCTGTGTGTACATGTACATACATATGTATTTGGCCATACTCTTGAATGAGATATAGAACTTTGAGACATAGAAGTTTAAGTCTGGAAAAGTGTGAACCTAAGCATAGTCACTTCTTTCTGAAACTAGCTGGGTTGTGATGGAACTAGTGACTATACTTATAATAGAGATGTTAAAAACCGAATGTAGCTACAATGTTTTAGGACCTGGTACTCTGGTGCCCAAGGAACAGTTAAATGAAGACGATCTTCCCCTGAGAATGTGCCTGGCATTCTTGTCGTACCCTTGTTATGAAGTCGTTGTGAGGCTCACGTACACATACACACCCACCGAAATGCTTTGCAAGCACTAAATTTAAAGTATTATTCCTTTTTTTTTGAATGATGAGACAGACTTACATTTGGACAAACTAGTAAAGTCTACAGCTGAATTGATCCATTCTTCACATTTTCAGTGGAGCACCAGCTATCTGAACACTGTATTCAAAGTATCAGCAGCGATAAAACAGCAACAAAAAGAACCCGTGTCAGCACTTCCCACCGTCCATGAAGGGAGCAGGAACATCCTGAGGAGCACTGACGTCCACTTCACTTTGAATTAAACAGAGCATCCGCACAGGTCTCAAGAGGTGATATTAAGTTTTGCGTTTGGGTGATACTGGGAATTCTACAGGCAACCGTGGAATTATATCGGGCTGGCGAAAAGCCAGTCAAACTTCACACTTGTCCTAGAGGCAGGGGGTCAGCAACTCAGTTCTTGTCATCAAATCTACTGGCCATCGTTGCTTAAACTATCTGGGTCTGAAAAATCTTGTATTATTCATTTTGAAAATAAAATAAACACTAAGAAATGACATAAAACGAGGCAAAGACTTATGCCTAACGAAAAAGATGTTAGATTAGAATCGACCTCAGGAAAAAGCAAGTCCAATCAGAGCACATCCAATAAAAACAAAGAATGGAATTGGATTTTCCAAATGGCATCATCTATTCATCGATTTTATTTCTTTCAGGAAAAGAGGACTCAGAAACCAAGGGAAGGAGGAGATGCATTCACAGCTTTCTCTCTTTTCTTAAAATATACGCTGTGAATTTTCCAGGGTTCACAGGACATGTTTTGAAAGAAGCCTTCATGTTTATCAAAAGGAAGTACATGCTCCTTGATATGTCTGGTTTTGCTGTAATAGTATATATAATGCCTCTCTCTAATAAATTTAACCACAGAATTTTTTAAATGTGTCTGTATTCTGCTAATTTATAAAAAGCAGGATGCTGTCAGATAAAATTTCACGAAAATAATCCATAAACCAGACTGTCCAAAGGGAAAGGTACTCAGGCAGTACTTAGGAGAAACAAATAGATGGAAACCGCTGGAAAGCGTTCTGGTGACTGCGGTATAACGATGTCCTGTAACGGGGCTCACGTTACCTCGATTTGCAAGTTACTGTGAGGTCACAGGAAATCCTGAAATGTTTTCCACATTTTCTTTTATACATTTTATGTCAAATTTCCTGCAATTGAAATCATAAACCCTCCTACTGCTGGAATCTCTTCTGAAAGAAGGGAGATCTTTGACACTCCCCCATGAACACCTAATAACTCAGTTCCTACCAGTGTAACAAGAACATGAAAGACAGAATCGAAAATGGACTATGATAAGGCTGAAAGGTCAGATGCCCTAATTCTTTCAAAATGAAAACCAAACCGCTGTCATCAAGACAACTCAAAAAGCACACTTAATCTAGTGACGGCATACTTTTCTTTAGAATAAGAGATAACGGAAGAAATGAGACTGTCCCAAAGACAGAAACTCACCATTTCCCCAAATCTCTTATCCAAAACGCATTTGTGAATTTACGGCCGAATTTAGAAACAGCATCTTCTATGTAGACATTCTTAACAAGATTCAAGCTCCTGATAACCATATTTTATTGTTCTAGCTGTGTTTATGGAAGGATAAGTCAGATTTAAGGAAAATGTTCAAGTTTAAAATATTCTCTCAAGATTTATCACTCATAACTGTGTGATTTGAAAACTGCTTTTTAATGGTCAAATACTATTTTTATATAAATCAACAAGATGGAAAATCATGCCAAACGATTAAAGTTCATTAGCGAGTACCAATTTTTAGGGTTTTGTTGGGCCACGAGTCCTTAGCACACCTTACCTCTCCCGACATGTCAGGGGCCATCGGAACCGCAGGCCACAG